CCAGCTCCTGGAGGAACTTGAATAGGGACACGGAGTTCCCAGGAAGAGGTGGGAAGTAGATTTCTCCCCACTGCCCAGCCCCAGCCCAGGTGTGTCTTGGAGGCAAGAGGCTGGGTGTTGCCAACACCCCCTGATCCCCACCCCAGCCAGAGTGCAGGTTACAGATTATTAGTGAACATGCACATGAACCCATGTGTTTGTGCACATGAAGAAGAGTCTAGAAAGGCAGTTACTCCACCTTGCTTATAAGTCCCTCTGAGAGTTACCATATCCTAACCTTGTCAGCCATTTATTTCCTCCAAATTCCCAGAAAAAAAAATACTGTCTCTGATGGTTTTTCCTTAAGACACTCCAGCAGCTGTCTCCAGGAGCTCCCGGATAGTCTAGACCAAAGTGCCAGAGAAAAATGGACGCCCAGTATCAGAAAACAGACAGGTTCCTGCGAGACCACATTCCGGTCCTTTTTGCTACCTAGACCTCAAGACCACCTGCACCACCCTTCACCCAGAGCAGCTTTCACCAGCTGTTTGCCTCCGCACTGCAAAGGAGATGGAGGTGGGGGTGGGGAGGTAAGAGGGAAGGGAAGTTCCTAGGGTCACTCCTACCAAACACACTCTCCTGTGTTCCTCCATCCCAGGCTTTGCAGGCTGCTGGGACCTAGGGAGATCTGTGAGAGCCAGGAGAGAGAGAGAGAGAGAGAGAGTGTGTGTGTGTGTCCGTGTCCATGCATCTCTCCCTCTGTCACTGGCTTGCTTGCACTCCTGCCCACACTTTCTGCTCCAGGAGCTGTCTGGCAGGCTCAGAGAGGCTGTTGGATGGACTCCAGCTCTCCCCAGGAGGAGAGCATAAACTTCATAAACTGCATTTACTTTAATGCAGGTTCCTGGGGCTGCTTTCCTCTGGCTTTTCTTCCCTCCTCTTGTCTGCTCTGTCTCGATCACATTTTATCCCTGCCCCTGTGTGCACCCAGACCTCTCTCTCTCACACACACACACACACACACACACACTATAGCCAATGCTCCTGAAAAAGATGACGCCAGGCAGGAGGAGAATGGGCAAGGTGTAAAAGCTCTGTCTAAAGAAGAAAGCCTCAGAAAGACCCCCATGAGATACCCACATGCTTGTCTCCAGTGGAGATAAGCACAAAGGGTGCTTTGAGGCAGGTGGGCAGGCACCTCAGGGAGGGAGGGTTGCTGACATTTCCCAGGGACCTGATGGCCAAGTGAGGAGCCACCTGGAGTCTGGGCTGCGGACTCCAAGGAAGGGAGGGAGAGGAGGTGAGGCCTCCATGCAGGTTGAGGTCTGTGAGGCCTCCCTTGTCTGGTGCTGTCAAGGTCAGCAGGTTTGGGTTCACCGAAGGGTCAGGATGGTTTGAATTACTGGCTCTGCGGCAACTCAGCTCTGAGGCTCGTGATCAGTCTCCCAGCCCTCCCCCAACCCTCCCTGCCTTCCCAACCTCACGGGGTAGAATGGGGTGGGTCCCTACTGGCCACCAGGGCCCTGAGGAAGGCAGCAAGGAGGGGCCCTTCTGGTGTAGCCAGCGATGGTTGGGAGGCTGCTGGGACTCATTCCTCTGGAAGGCAGCAGTCCTGCATCGCCCCAGCCTACCTTCTCCCCCAGCCCTTTTTCTGAGGGGTCCTCTGGCCCCTGCCCTTCTCAGCTGCCTGCAGGCCTGCAGAGGAGATGGTGCCCAGGGAGGGGCAGGGACCCTGGGGCAGCCTCGGTGCCCAGCTCCTCCTTCCTGAGTCCATAGCCCCCGCCTGGGGGAGACAGGCAGAGCTGAGGCAGCGGATTTCTCGCTTGGCGCCCTTGCCCACAGTGGGAGGAGGACGATGCCTATTTGCAGGGCTGGAAGGTAGTTGCCAAGCAGAAGATGAGGCGGTGAAGACCTTTCCTGACAAGATGGGTGTGCATACACATGCACGGGGCGCCCAGCCTCAGGGGTGGGGAGGACCCGAGGCGTCTGCTGAGACAGTTGAAACACTGTGCTACATTCACCCTGACTGCCAGTGGTGCAGGGTCACACATAGGCCCCTGCCCTGCAAATCTGTACGTTCTCTCCTAGGGAGTGGGGTCGACCTAGCTATTCTGACTTTTTGGCACTTTAGGGAAAAAAAAGTACTCTTTTGTGCTAAATCACAACATACTTCCTCCAACAATCAAATAAAACTTCATCCACAGCTGCATGATCAGGTAGGGAAACTAAGGTGGTTAATAACTTGGCCACAATCTCTGGTATAAACGCAGGGATTTATGTACAAATTCATGCACCTATGTCAGCTACACACAGCCATGGCTAAGCCCTGGAACCTCCCCACAGAAAAAAGTAAGTCCATGTGTGCACGGGGCCCAAGGTGAAGGTCGTAAACCTACCTCTGTATAATGACCTGGTTGGGGTTCAACAGGCTCGTAGCCAGCATTTCCCTGAGAGTTTGGCTAAAATATGCGATCCAACTAAGATAGAAAAACTCCCCCTTCAGGTATGAACGGTCTCATTTCCCAGGTTACTAGGAAGATATAATCAAAACAATGAATGTGTGTTCATAAGTGGATTTTGGGGGGCTGTGTGTCTTAGTGAATGCTGACCTGTGAACTTTAGCTCTCTCTTGGACTAGAGTGGACATTAGCCAGGTTTTGAATATTTGTCGGAAAATGAACATAGGTCAAGCCTTGCTAATGCATGTAAAGTTGGGCATTTGTCCAGACAGATGATTACCTCTGTGCAGACTAGATTTCTGGACTCTCAAAGGACCTGCCTCCTGAGGGTCAGTGTCTGTGACCTGTGCTAGGTAGTACAGTATGTGCGAAATCATCTAATTCTAGCAATAATCCACAGAGGCACTTTCCTTAGAGAAAGTCAGACTCTGCTTGGCTTCCCTTTGCCAATATACTGTCTCCTCGCAGTGCCTGGCTAGATCTTGGAGGAGAGTGAAAGCAGAAAAAGGCTCTGCGACACCCTGCCCATGATGGAAGCTCACTTCAGAGGTCTGAGGGCACAGCACAGCACCCCAGGTCCACACTCCTGGGTGGGTGGGTATTCTCTAAGAAGGAAATCGGATGGCTGGGGATGTGTGTGTGTGTGTGCATGTGTTTAAGGACTGAGTGGCAAACAGATATAACTGTGCCCAAGTGCTGGGTTTAGGTTAAGGAATCAGTGCAACCTTGTTTTGTTTATCCAAAATAGTGCAACCTCCCCTCTTCTTCTGGGCCCTCCGCGGCACCCTTCCCAGCTCTTTCAGGCTGTATCCTCTCCCACTAAAATGGTGCAGACTCGGCGAAACTTCTATCTTCTTTTCCCATGCAGGGAACGCTCACATCCCTCTTGGCTTCTGCCAAGCCCCACATCAGGACCAAAAGGCCACAGAGAACAGGTACCGTGGGCCCAAGAGAGTCAGGCTCTGGCTCCAGCCTCTGCCCCTACATGTCCGCCCCCTATAAATCTACCAAGGAGCCCTCACCTGTAGACTCCCCCCAGCAGCCTCTTCCAGGACCACAGGCCCAGGCCACAGGCATCCAAAGTCCCCAAAGTCCCCAAAGTCCCCATATTCCCCAGGCCTGGCAGCTGGCCAGTGGCAACGCCTCTTCTTCCCTGGGGTCCTCCTGGCCTGCCTTTTTGGACACCAGCCCTCCTCTGCTGCCCCTTCAGAAAGACAGCAGGGAAGAGATACCGGTGGCCAGGGCATGTCTGGTTTACATTAATGAGATACAGCGAGTGTAATCCAGCCATGGAGGCAGCCTACAAAAGGAGGTGATCGCGGGCGGCCAGGAGCAGAGCCGCTCAGGTAATTGGTTTATCTATCTGGAAGCAGGGGGAGCAATCTCAGCACAGACAGACTAGCAGTAAAGTCTCTTCCTTAAGGCTATTTCCTTTGTCTTTTCAATTGCTTGCACATCCATGTGAGAGAGGGAGAGAGTGTTAAAGAGAGAGGGAGAGGGAGAAATGTTAATTTGTGAATTAATGGCTTTTCTCAGCGGAATTGTAAATTCAAATGTCACCTCACACAGTGACACCACGGCTGGTCTGCTGAAGAAGCAATGATAAGATCCCCCACCTCCCTCGGTGCCCCTCCCTCCCCAAAGATAGCTGCGGAGTGGAACATGCTACTTTTAATTTGCAATAACAACACAACAGAGGTATGCAGTAATGACTGCCTTCTACCCTCCTCCTGGCTTCCTTCCCCCGAGTCCGGCTGGCTCCCCACTTCCTCCCTCCCACCCCTCTGCTCTTCTGCAACAACACCTCACATCACCCCGGCTGCCCCCCACCCCACCCCAACCAGGGCCTGATCACATGGGGGGGTGTGTCTTTGGAATCGACGATGCTGCAACCCTCTCTTCTCCTTCAATAATCAGGGAATTAATGACCCTGAAGTTAAAGTGAGGCTGATACCGAGGCCCTGCCCAGCATTGGGAAAAAGCCTTCATTGTTTTCAAGCAGGAGGCGGGCAGCAGTGAGGGAGATTCATGGATGGAGATTGAATATGCAATTTTCTTTCACCTTGCCAAGAGCTGCCCCTGGGCTGTGCCTGGCCTAAATTTTTCCTTTTACCATCTCTGCCTTATCCGGCCCTCCCACCTCCCTTCCATTCTTTCCAGAAAATTACCTTCAAAATTGATTTCCACTTTTACAAACAAATATAATGGGAACACAGGAAAAAACTTGGGCCGTGATGAATTAGGGCTGTCAGGTGCTTCCAGGTCTCCTTTGCTTTTGTTTTACTACCCGATCTGCTCTTTGTTTTTCCAAGGGCTGGAAAAAGTGCCCCCCAACCACCGAGTGTCTGACCCTCCAGGCCACGGGGCCTTAGCCCCCAAACCCGGCAGTGGCCCATGGCAGACTGAGCCAAGCCCTGAGACTCCATTAGTCTCTTGGTTTCCCAGTGGAAGCCTGAGCCACCTCCTCCTATTCTGCTCTCTGGTCCTTGGGAACCCATTTTAACCACCCCCTCCCAGCTATTACCCCTGGGCCCCGCACCATGTTCCCTCTGGCCCCCATACCTCTCAAAGTCCAGACCAGATGCAAACCTCCACCTCCTCTAATGTGGGCAGGATCAGTGTATACCTCGACTAGAGCAAATAAGAGACAGACAGACACTGAGAGATCGTGAAAGACAGGAGAGTCGAAGACTTGGGGGGGCAAGCCCTGAGATTGGGAGATCAGGCTCCTCTTCGAAGGGCAGCAAAAGTTCCAGTCAGCAACTCTCACACAGCCTGAGGGTGTAAAGGTTCCCAGCCTCAGTCTCCCTTGCCTCAGGCCCCAGGCCACCCCTGGGGGCAGGTTCAGGACAGCCTATCCGTTTGCGAACAGAATGCAGAGTGATGACAAAGGGCCCTTTGGGCCAAACTCTTTATGTACACCTGTGCCTCAGGACCATGGAAACTTAGCACACCCAGGCCTGGCTTCTAGCTCTCCCTGCTCCCTGGAGCTGGTGACAGGGACATGGACATGCACCTCCTCACATTTGACTATCTCTTTGAGCATATACACTACCCAGAAAACTGTGTGCCTGCCCAATACACGGCTTTCCACATCCCCATTCACCCAAGATCTCAGAAAGGTAGAAACACGCAATACCCACATTTGCATAAACCAAGTAAAAAAGCCCATGTATGTCCATAAAACAAACATACATTTCCCAAGTAAATAAATACATTTGCATGTGGGAGTGGAAATACACAGCAAGGCTAGAGGGAGGAACGCCTCCACATTAGAAAAGAAGGGGTCCTATATTTATCTGCACACATATAAAATGCCTGTGGAGACCCTAGTGGGTAACTGCAGAGTAAATGTTCCAGCACAGATGCACAAAGGTCCTCCCAATCACATAGGGGAGGCTGATGTCTTTCCCCTGGTGCCCTGGTCCCATTCAGGTTGGCTTGTCCCAGCATCAGCTTCCTTAGGCTGCCCTGCTTAAAAGGGGCTGCAACAAGATGAAGGAGTCTGGACCCCCAAAACTTTCTTTCTGACACAACTTCACTTCCCCTTGAAACATAAACCTGCTGATTACGCCCTCCTTCCGAGACACACAGCAAGCCATCTTCCAGGATGGAGTTGGCTCAGCACTTCATATCTGTGATCTCAGGTGGTCCTCTCCACAGTCCCCATGAAGTCAGAGCCATCACCATCTCCAGTTTACAAATGAGAAGACTGAGCTGATGAAGGTTAAGTGAGTTGCCCAAGGCACCAGGATTCCAACCGGGCTGTGCCTCCCTACAGAGCCCTTCCGCAAGGAGCCACGCTGCCCATCCCCACTGCACCCTGGGGACTGCCTGCTGGCCTCCACCCTGAATCCTTCTTCCTTGTGGGAAGCCAGGGCTCCTAGATGGGCCAGATGCCACTCCTTCCCACAGCCCAATCCCCTCATTTGCTCCAAGTCAAACCTGAGCAACACACTAGGGGACGTCTAGGAGGAAAACTAACTAAGGAAATAAACCGCTTCTTGCAATTATGGCTTCATCCAAAGCAGAAGGGAGCGATTAAAGGCAGTGACAGGGCTTGGCCGTTTGCAGCCCTGCAGCCCGCCCTGCCTGCAAACGCACAACTGCACTGGTTTGGCACCTCTCAACTGCACAATTCATTGTGCACCTAATTAATGGAATGCAAAATCACAGCTCCCTGCAATCCCACACATCAAAGGATGATATCAACACACCTCCCCTCACACAGATCAAAAGACTCAGACCATATGACTTCATTTGGATTTTTGGACAAGTTATGTAATTGCTCTGGGCTTCAACACCTCTGATGGACAGCAATGCTTTGGGCCACGGCTGAAAGCAACTGGGTGAAGGTAAAGGACTTTGGTCTTTCAGCCTGAAAATATACAGTCCCTCTTGCAGCCACCTAAGGAAAGCATGCAACATTCAGGGAAGCAGTGTTCCCTCAAAGGCCTCTAATATACCCACCCATACTTGTAGCTAAGAAGAGGTGATAGCAAAGCTTTTAGCGGGGAACTGAATGGGGTGCTACCTTCTCAGACTGGTGGACAGCCTGTCTGCTGGGTGCTTCGTGACATAACTTCCTTCTCTACCCCTGGTCTGTCTACCTGTCTCACTCTGGGACCTCCTGGACTCTTAGGGGGAGAAAGGAGTCAAAGCTTCTTGACTAGTACCTTTCATAAAGGAAAGTCTGGGGATTTTTCCCATTCTTCCAAAGGCCAAGGCATGAGGGGGCATCTCAAGCAGGCTCACAGTCACCATCAGTTTCATTTTTCCCCAGAGTCACAGCTGATCGGCCCTTTAGTAATGTCTCCCCAGATCTGATTGCTGCAGATACTAATAACGCTGTCCATATTCTGAGTGCCAATGCCAATAATGCCCTGGGTATTATCACTGTGAACACCAGTAACTACTGCTGAGATTGTCTCCAATAATGCCAGCACACACTGCAGTGATTGTCCTCGCTAATGCCCACCACCGTGACATTGTTAGAGCTGAAGAATAGGCTGAACTGTACCCAGAGGCAGAAGCCGGAGCGGCTTCCTTGAGGACAGAGAGGCTCACGGCTTGCCCCCGGGGCATGACACTTCTAGGGAGATGCCCCAGTGCATGGGGCCAAAATAGGGCCAGGCTGGCAGGGGCACAGGGTCCTCCTGGGGGAAGATGTGCCTCTCCACTCCCTTGGGGCCTACTCCCTCTATATGCATCCCGGTTCCCATGCTGGCGCTCCTTGGGCCCCCAGTCAGTGTTCTGCTTCGCTGGCAGTGCTGGCCTGGGAGCTGAAGGACACACCTGGGTGTCTGTGCAGCCCGTGCCCGCGGCCGCCGCCTGCGACCGGCCTGCCAGCTGCTGTGCTACCTTGGCCCGGCTGCTGAGCTGGGCTACATCATCTTGACACATAATTATCTCCCCTATTCTTAATCATCTGAGCTGCTCCCTAATGCAAACTGGGCCTGGATGCTTGGAGGCACCCAGAGTTGGGGGAGGGGGGACAGGCTGCAAAAGGTCTGCCTTTGCTCTGCCTTTCCTTTCCTTCCCTCTCACTTCCCACCTTTGTCCGACTGATCAAGTGTGTGTGAGTGTGTGTGTGTGTGTGTGTGAGTGTGTGTGTGTGTGTGTGTGTGTGTGTGGTGGGGCAGTGTTTCGGAGGGGGGTCAGGGAGAACTGAAATTCCTCATAGGCCCCCACCAAAGGAAGGACTGTTCCTTCTGGTCTGCGGTTGGTCAAGAGGAGAGAGAACTCCCCCCACAAAAGAAGTAGGGTCTCTGATCCTTCTTGCCACCTGGTCAGGCCCAGGGCTAAGTGTTTAAGCAGGAAGGGCAAACTCAGAGGCCGCCATTATCTCTCACTCAGAATTCAACTGCTACCTGAGCTGTCTCCCCGCTCACCAGGGTCCTGCTGGAGGAGTGTCTTCTCAAACTCAGCCTTGCTGTTCTCCCTTCCTGCTCAGACACCTTCAATGGCTCCTCATGCCCCCTAGAAAAAGTCTTTATATGGTCCTGTCTTGGCCTGCTTGCCTGTGACCCTAACCCTCTACTCAGCCTTCCTTCCATGAGGTCCCCTCTGCCCTTTCATCTCAGCCAAAGCGCCCTGGGTTTTTTCACCACAATACCTTATGGTCACAAGGCTGAGTCTATGGGATAGAATTTCACACTACCATTGTCTTTGCATCATGCCCCTGGTCCATCCCTCAGGCCCCTCCTCAAAGAGCAGCTGTGCCTGGAGGTTCACTCCCTCCCTGCTCTGCATTCCCATGGCCTGCAGCCCAGACCTCCATCACGACATAGATATCTAGATATCTGATGGGCCTTCCTGCTCTCTGGGCTCATGGGTTTTACACGCCCCACTAGACTGTAAGCTCCTTAAGGACAAGAATCATATCTTGTTCTGCTTTGGGATCCTATAGCACCAAGCCTTTCTTGCAATGGTTGCCCAGAAAGGGTTCACTGAATTGAATTGACTTGAAACAATGGGTGTGATCAATTGCTCAGAGAGGAGAATGCTCTGTTCTGGGCCAGCAGGGCCCGACTCGGGGTGGCCAAGGCCTCCTGCTGGTGTCTCTCTATCCCAGCCTCCTGTCACAGACCGTAGGAGCCCAGAAAGCAGAGGACATGCTTTGCCCCAGCCGCAGACCAATGAGGGAGAGTACAAAGGGGGTCCCTTGACCTCCCCCGGCCCCTGGTCATCTCACAGGTGCTGGTGGTCAAAGAAGAAATTCTCAAGGTCTGAGGCAGAATCTTCCAGGCCACTCAGGGTGCCAGGGGACTTGGTGAAGGCCTGAGTGTGGGAAACCCCCAGGGAGAACTGAGACCCAGGCCCTTTCACAGCCGCCCCCTGCCCATCAGTGGTTGCCGCCAAAACAACCACAATGAAATTTAGTGAGTGGCAAAGGCCGTGGCAGCCAAATGGGTTTGGATGTTTTGGAAGAAGGAGAAATAGAGCCAGACAAGCTGTTTTCCTGTGAAACGAGGCCATTAGGGCTTCTGGAAGGAGGCCAGGCCCAGGTCATCACTGTCTTGCCAGACCCAGGCCTCTCCTACACGCTGTCCCTTCTGCTGGAGGCCAGGGCTCTCACACTCTCTTTTCCCTCTGCCGGGGCCCAGGAAATCTCAGCTTTGTCCCTTTCCTCTGTTTTTTTACCCTCCAAAGCTGCCCCAATCAAGGGCTTGTCTGTGCTTGGGATGACCACATGATTTGTTGTCCAAACAGGACATTTTTGAGAGAAAAAGGAGATGCTGACTGGCCAAGATGTAGAGACAAAGGCATAAATTGGGACTGTCTGGACCCATGGGATATATGGTCATCCCCTCTATGTTCATTTTAGAGGGTTCTGTCTATTTCATGGGAAATATCCTTAAAATCAGACACCCTCTCTAGACTGGGAGGCTACTGCCACCCCAGCAAGGACCACAAGATCAGGGAAGGAAGCAGGCTTTAGACGCTCTTGTCTCTGGGCCTGCCAGCACGGTGCCCTGGCCTCATGCATCAGAAGAGAACCAGATGGTCACCAAGGGATCCTTAATGTCATTTGAAAAATTCTTTCTCCCAAGTCATTACCACCACTCTCTCCTCTGATTCCCTTCCCTGCTCCTCCTTCCCTTCATCCCCCTCAACCCTGAACTTCCTGCCTAACAGCTGGCTGCACCTGAGGGATTACAGGGAATGAGAGGAAGGGCCAGAGAGGAGCCTGGATGGTGTCTCTCCCAGTGGAGAAGAGCAGAGAGGGCCCACACCCATCTCCCTGAGTGGGTTTTAATGGGCACAAGGTCCACGTGTTACAGGGAAAGGACACCAGGGTCAGCTGTGCATGACATCATTCCAGCATCTCCTGATGGGTTGGGATCAGGAGAGGACAAGGCAGGTTGGCCTTTCATCCTCAGGTCAGAAACCAGCTGTCCCCCAACCTCCAAAACCTTCCCACGGTACATGGTTCATGCTTTTCCTCCTGGGGCAACCCACAGGGATATTGGGGGTGAATCCTAGTGGAAGGTGAGGCAGTTGGGGCTGCTGAGCAGATGGTGAAGCTGATGGCCCCACCAGCAGCCCGCCTCCCTCTCTCCAGGAGCCAGCAGGGCAGTGGGGGTACCTGGGCTTTGCTACTAAAACTGATCTCACAGCAGAGCAGCTGCGAGGCCGGGCCGAAACCGGAGCTCTGAGTCCAAGGACAAAGCATGCACAGAAGAAGCCAAGCCTCTTCCCTCCTCCCTACCTTCATCACGTTTCCTCTTCTCGCCATTGGAGCGAGGGATCCCCAGGATCCCGTTGATGGAGTAGGATCCCACTGGATCATTGGAGGCGCTGGAAACAGGAGGGGAGGCCGTACTGGGAACTGGATGAGAGTAAGGAGGAAATGCCATCAGGATAGTGGTTGTGATCACAAGCCAAAGCCCCAGGACTAGGGGCAGAGAGAAGCAGAGGAAATGAGGAGGGATGGGGAGTCCACAGTCTCCATCTTCGTCTGAGGTTTGAAGGGGAATGTGTTGCTACAGACATTTCAGGCTATTCACTGCTGTCTACCGCGGGCTGAATGGTGACCAGTCAATTCCAGCCTCCTTTGCAGACCTAGAGATTTCACTCACTGAACTTGTTCCCTGAAGATGGATGGAAACAGCAAAGCTAACTCAATCTAGAAAGTGACTCAGTGGACCTGCTGAGAGTATAGCTCCTAGGACGCCTCCCCCCTTGCACAGCTCATCCCACCCCCGGGGGGCCAGGCAAATCCTTCCAAACAAACCCCAGCCCATTGTTTCTAGTCTCCTAGGAGGAGTTGTTACCCGTGCTGATTTGGAGTTTCTGGCTTTCTAAACTCTGTCTCTGATTCTCTCAGAGACACAAGACTGGTCCTGATATTCTGCAGGAGCATGAAGCTCCTCTCCCCAAGTTGCTTCTGGTCTTGAAATCACTTAAGTTCCTAATTCCCCCTCCAGGCACAGTGTAGTGAACACATTCACTCCCCGGTGATCAGCTCAGGTACAGCCCAGCCCAGCCCTGCCTCCCAGCACACACTGTAACCCGGGCTAGTAAACAACGCTCCTGCCAAGTCCAGGAGGGCTGGGACCAGCTGTTTCTACTTCTTGCTGGTCAAGAGAGAGAGGATAGCTGCCAAGAGGGGTGGCAGGAGGAGTTTAACCACATCCCAGCCCCTCAAGCCCCAGGCCTCTTATATAGCTTCAGCAGCACCAAGTGCCCTTGGGCCAAAGGGAAGACAGTAGGTGTGGGGTGTGAGCAGATGTCCTGGTGGGCCTGGGTCATGTCTCTGAGAGGCCGTGAGCGACGGTCAATTGATGAGGAGGCTGGAGAGGGATGGAGAGTCACTGAGTGGATAAGAGAGAGACCAAGAGATCCAGAGAGACAGGCCAAGAGGGAGGGGGCCATGAGGAGGAGGGGAGAGAGACAGATCCTCACCTACAGAGAGGAGAGGAGAGAAAGGGAAAGGCAGACAGGAAGGAAGAGGGGAGAAGAAAGGAGAATAATCTTAAAAATGTTTAACAGAAATGGAACAAGCAAGTAGATAAGAAAGAGAGAGGGGCAGAGAGGGAGAAAGAGAATGAAAAATGGAGAAGGGGAGGAGGAAGGGAAGGAGAAGGAAAGCTAGAAGGGAAAGAGAGAGACAGACAGACACACAGACTGATAAAGGCAAGGCAGCTGGGAGGAGATTTGGGTGGGAGGCAGAGAGGGGTCCTGGGGAGCTAGTTTCTCAGGCAGATCCCAAGCCTCTAGGAGCCCAGAGAGAGCACAGGCTTGGACCTCAGACAGCTGTGCATTTCCCAGGGATGAGGCTGCGCTTCCCAGCTCTCAGGGTGCCCAGCTTCCTCCCTTCCCCCCCAGCCCTCTTACCAATGGTGTGGCCAGGGGCAGTCACTCCGGTCCCGGCTCCATCCGGCGTTGGGTGGAAAGGTTGCTGAACTTTGGTCCGGATGATCCTGCAGCAGTATCACAACAGCATCACACATCACATGCCCTCTCCTGCCCTGGCCAACCCCAGCCCAGCCCTGCAGAGGTGCTCCCCCAAGCTCCTCAGCTTTCTCCTCACCCATATGCTCCCTGAACCTCTGCCCTCTCTGACTGCTGCAAGGCATGAGCTTGCCCTCACGTTGGCTCTGTGGATCCAGCCTAGCGCAGCCCTGGGTGGAGGCAGTCTGCATTCTGTCCTGCAGCCCTGCGCAGAGGCTGTCCGCATTCTGTCCTGTCGTGTGCATCGTCTGAACTGCAGCTTGATGTTTGGTAGCAAGGATCAGGGTAGCAGAGTGAGTAGAGCACAGCATCCTTCCCCTTCCTGGGCATGGGGATTGCCCTGATGACTTGCTGTCCACCCTTCCCTCCTCAACCACACACATCTCCTCCTGAGAGGAGTCTGGAGATCATTTTGGAACTGATTTTCCTATTGGGACTGTATCACAGTCCTGCAGAGTCAAGGGACGGGATGAGATTTCCTCATTTTGTGAGCTAAAGGGAAGTACCCAGGGAACCGCTGGGTCACAGGTAACCAATCCTTTTGTCTCCAGGATCCTGACCCAGCACATGGTCCCTTTGCCAGATGTCAGGCCCTGAGCAACTTCCTGAGCCCACTTAGTGCTCTCAAACTCATCAAAGCCCTGCCCCTGCCCCTGCCCAGCTCGCTGGCCCACTGCCCTCCTTCTCAGAGACCTTACTTGGATCACAGCTTCTCTGCTAGGCTGGGCGAAAAGCCTGGTGCCCTCCCTATGCACTCCCAGGGGTGGGGGTCCGGATAGAACACCCCAGGGATGGGAACTGTCAGTGACCCAAGGCTCCAGGGCTCAGCGATGCAAGAGACCCACCCTGGGGACAGGATGGAGGAACACTCCCCTCCAGCCACTGGTCAAATCGGGTGCCCCTGGAAGCCACTTTTCTGAAGGCATTGCTTCTCTCCACAGAGAGGTTGGTGAGCCAAGTTCATCTTAACCGGCCAGGTGAGTCACAAGCCGTGCATGGAATGAAGCTGGGGGGAGGACACACACCCAGAGAAAGCCAAGGAACCCTTAGGGGGCCAGGCAGTAAGTGCCTAGAGGATGCAGGGGAGGAATCATCCCCCTTGCAAGTGGGAGAAATGGAAAAGGAGTCTTTGGAGGCGGAACTTGATGTAGATCTTCAAAGCAGAGTAAGGCTGAATACACACGCACGCACGCGCACACACACACACACACACACACACACACAGGAACCAGAGGCACAGAGGATAGTGGAAAAAACACCAGGCTGCATGGCTTTGACCTCATCGTTATCTTTTTCCGGGCCTCAGTTTCTTCAGCTATAAAGAGGTTAGACAACAGGATCTTTAAGGTCTCTTTCCCCCGTAAATAATAACATGATTCTAAGATGAACAAAGAAGCAGAGAGGAGGGGGTTACACGCAGGCGCTGGAGGAGGGTGGAAGCAAAGCCTGAAAGCTGAGTGCACATGCCAGGTTAGCGGTTAATGCCCAGACCAGGAGCTGCGGCGGTATATGTAAGAGAGTAAGAGGAAATAAGGTTGAAAACTTGGAGGTAATGATGATAATAGGTATTTTCCACTTATTGAGCATCCATTATGTGCCAATATTCTACGCAATTTCTATTCCTGTATATACACTACTGTAAACTCTCACAACAACCTCCAAAGTAAACACTATTATCCTCATTTTGCAGATTGAAAACCGAAGCCGACAGTGGTTAGGAGCTTACTCAGGATCACACTGCCAGCTCAGGCAGAGTTTGAATTCTGTCTCTAAAATGTGTGCTTTTGGTTGCTTTGTCACACTTCCCCCAGCACACAGGAACCAGGTTTAGAGAGTCTCAAGCCATGAGCAATTTCTAAACTGAAGGGGACGTGCACAAACCAATCCAGGGAGAGTTATCTACAGGCAAGAGGCCATAAGGGGCTGGTCTCAGAATAGAGAGGGAAGAATTCACAAGACATTGTGAAAGCAGAACGGTCAGGATCTGGCAACTCACTGGAGACAACCAATGGCTCCAGCATGCCGGATGACTGCACCTGGCGGGCTGGTGGTGTGTCCTGCTGTCAGAAAGAGGGATGTGGGAAGATGACTGGTTTGGTTCTTGACATGCAGCATTTGAGGTGGTAGGCAAGTGTTAAGGGTTGGTGGGGAGGGCATGGCCCAGCAGGTATGGACTGGGGAGATTGTCAAGGAAAGGAGTGTTGGTTGAGACGAGAGGCCTAAGAAGTAGACGCTGGAGGACACCAACTATCAGAAACTGAGGAAAACAACCTGACCTTGCACAGGGGTCAGAGTTGGTCTTATAGAAAACGGCAGAACCAGGATCAGGCAGTTCTAGCTAAGTCAACAAAGAACATTTCCAGAAGGGAAACATAATCCACAGCATCAATGGTGACATATAGACTAAAGGGACTTGGAAATAAAAAGAAGCACCAGATCTGGGAATTTGGCGACCACTAGTGACCTTGGGAGGCAGCCCCAACAAAGCAACTGAGGCAGAAGCCAGACACAAAGAGCGGAGGAAGTGGACAGGCAGAGGGAGGCAGTGGACGGAGACTCTTGCTTCAGAAGTTTGTAGAAAAGGAAAGGAGAGGAAAATATGGAAGCTGAGGATGGAACCGGCAGCTGAGTGGACAGAAGGCTGTTTAGAGGAGGAAGGACCTGAGTAGGCTGAGGAGGAAGAACCCGTGAAGAGGGAGACACTGAAGCTGCCTGAAAGTGGATGACGGCGAGAGAAGGCAGAGCAAGGAGAGAACGGAATGGTGAGCTCGGGGAGGAGGTGGCAGGAGACTGTATGTTGTGAAGATGTCAAAAATTCTGGGTTTGGAGCGTGATCACAATGGGGAAGAGCTGACAGTGGTGAAAGGCAGTGTAGACTGGTCTCTGGGAAGAGTCTAGAAGGAGGCTGAGCAGCTCAGAGTGCCTGCTCCTCATTCATTGCAGCAAAAACTTCTGGGATCTCAGTGGGTCTGTGGGTGGCTCTGGCTTGAGGGCTGACGGGTTCTGGACTGAGGGAGCCCCAGGACAGAGGCTAGGGGAGACAGACAACTGGATGGCCTTGTGGAGTTGCTGTCTTTGTTACCCAGAGCCTCTGACCCCTGGGGCACTGGTGCAGAATTTAGCTGAGGCAGCAAGTGATGGAAAATCACTACTCCTTGACAGCGGCGTGGTGGTGCAGGGGAGGGGAGCTAGGCAGGGTGCCTGTTGTGAGTTACTAACGCTCTTGGTGTCCGTCCCTGTGTCCCAGGCAGTGGGCATGAGCTGATCTCAGGGTACAATCAGGAACCTTGGAGGGCATGTCTCTACTGGGGGCTGGGAGGTGCCATTTCCTGTTTCTACAGAAAGACTGCCCTCCCGGGATGCCTGCTCCCTACTCTTCCTTCCAGCAAACTCTCCTTCACAGGGATGCGCTCTCTCCCCCGCCTTTCCGGGGAACACCCTGGGCTTTGCCTTGGTCCAGCACAGGGACTTCAGGCACTTAGCATCTCACCCTCACGAGGGCGTGAGCGGAGCAAAGGGAAGAAGGGGACGGGTTCTGGACTCAGTCTCCTGAATCTGAGTCCCAGCTCTGTTACTTATTGCCTGTGAAATCCCCAGCAGTTTCTTATTTCCTCATCTGTAAAATAAGATAATAATACTCTCCACTTCATAGGATTGTCATGAGGATTAAATAGGATAATTCGCATAAAATGATTAGTATGATGCTTGGCTCAATAAGTGCTAGCTATAGTAATAGCTACTGGCAGTAGTATTCCTCTGAGTGACCCCAGGCCTGGCTGCTTTCTATGGAGGGGCTGAGCTAGGTGCAGGCAAGAAGGCCTCTCAGGCCAATATGCCCAGCCTGGTCAGAGCAGCTGCTACGGGGACCCTGGGAAGAGCACTTGAGAAGACAGGAAACAGCAGCAGGTGTCAGAGCCTGACCCCAAAAGAGATGCATCAGAGAGACTCTCTGGAAGACAGACTGGGGCCCTCTGCTTGGGGGCGCTGGGAAGGATTCAGAGACAGGATGAACAGCAGCTCCCTCAGGACCCAAGAGAGGCCAGGGGGCTACGGCAGAGCTTTAGAGTAAGGGATGACAAGGCAGGTGAAGTCATTCCCTCTTTGGTTAAATTTCCGGGAGGTCGCCACCCTCCCTGCCACGCTGGAGATCAGAACAGTCACTTGGCTCTGTGAGTTAGCATGAAAGCATGTAATGCGTCTCCTATTTACAGTTTGTTAAACTCATGAAGCAACAGAGACGCTCTCAGTTCTAAGAAAGCACCAGGGAGATTCCCAACTCTTCTGGTTCTACTGTCTCTCCCTCTTCCTCCTCCATCTTTTCCACTCATCCTTCCTCCGTGCTTCATTTTCTCTCTCCCCTTCTGTCTGTCTCTGCCCTCTCTCTGTCTCCCCTCCTTTTGTCTGTCTGTCTGTCTCCTTGCACCCTGAAGTCCCACTGTAGCTATGTGAGCTTATTGATTCCTGGGAGCTGGGGGAAAGTGGGAGGCAGGGCTGGGGTGCAGGCTCGGGGATGGAAATAGAAGGCTATAAATTATTTGTGACAGGAAAGCAATAGTGGCAGAGTGCTGAGCACAAGTCCTGTGTCACTATTAGATTCCTTTTAGCCTGATGACACTGTAAAAAAGGTTAAGTGTCTGCTGGAATCGTACACCTGGGGGGCCGGGGCAGCCTGGGAGCAGAACAAGCCACTGAGAGCAGGTATATCAATTCTCCAGGCCAATAATATTCCTCTCATTGATCGCCACGCAAAGTTCAAAAATCTCATTACAGCCAGGCAGACCGGGAACTTTTTACAAATCAATAGAATGATATAATGTATGTATACTTAGTACAAATGTATCTATTCATCTATCCATCCATCCACGGTCCGCCTCAGGGTTTCCAAGTTAACCTACCCATCATATTATGTTATGTTATGTATGATATTATATTGCATTGCATTATATGATAATAAATGGTGTGCAAAAAT